CTTGGTCTTCATACCTCATATAAATTATAACTTATTCTGAGCAAGCTTTTTTATTCAAGAAGTCAATTTTGCGGGAAAATGAGTGTCCAATCATTTTATTCACGGAAAATGCTACACTTCCTAAGATATGTAGGTGTCACAGATTTGTTTAATTGGAGGCGAGGAGTTAATCCAGTTTGGGGCCAGCCTATGCACATAATTTAAGCTACTACCTATGTTTATACTTGAAATATTTTTTTAATGTTTCATTTGGTAAGCGCAGTTTATATTCACCACCCTAAATAATAAGTACCAAATGTGTTAAACCTCATAGAGGACTGCGATAACTCAAGTCTCAAAATTATCTATTTTATTCCAAGTCGTAATATCTTAGATGCACGAAGAACTTAATAGCTAGCAAAGGTAGCCCAAATTAAGATTTAAAAACTATAACAATCGCAATTATGTCTAAGAGGTCGCAGATGGGACACTCAGATAATTGAGATCATTTCCATTATATACGGACGACAAAACATTACAGCATTAGCAAGCGGCTAAGAAATAGGAAAAGTTAAAATTCTAATTACCATGCGCTTCTTATAAGCTTCATTTGATGCATATACCGCATGGTCCCAAGTGACTTGTCGATCAATTAAGCCACTATCAAGTTGAACAAACCTTATATTTATACAATGTTATGTGCACTTACAAAGTAGGCCATCCAAAGGCCATATCATTTTCCTAGTAGAATTAAAGAAAGCAAATTGTCAGGCAGAATAGATAAATGTATCAAGATAACGCTGCCTTCTGTGGGGGGCAGTCTTCTTTTGTATAAAGTTGGTCTGGCATGTTTTTGCAACTAAATACAAATTATAATCTCAGAGACCTACCCTGTGCTGCGTGGCTATTGTATTGTGTTCTTTAAAGTTTTAACCTTGTTGATGCTCCCAATAGGCGCCCCGAGACAGGTGACAATACTAGGGGGCGCGATATTGAGTATGCATCGAGAAGTATCTCCATAAACACAGCCTGGTTGCAAAAACGAATTCAGACCAACACTAGAAGAGGTAAACTTACGGAGACAAGGAAAGGGCCTGCAAAGTCAAAAATATTTCCTTGTGAATCTCCTACCCCGACGTGCCCGACAAGAGGAAATAACCAGCTAAATGCATAAGTAAAAGTTGAAAAACCTCAGAATAGGTATGGGAGTCCAAACAAGGCAACAGGGATATCTATGTCTAACATGGTCGATTAGAGGGATAGACAAACGAGGGGAAGGGAGAGGAACAGAGATATCCATTCAAATATAGCTCTAATTAATCTAATTACTTAAATAAATTTATCGCTTTGACATCTATTTAACTATAGTCTCGTGGTTTTATATTACATTCTAGTTATATATTATTTATGCAAAGGTGGA